TGTTGACCTTAAAAAATGGACTTTATTTCATGCTGTTCAGTTCTCAAAACTCTTAGGCTGCTTCAGAAATAAAACACTGACAGGACTTTTGATACCCTGTTGTTCAGCCCCAGGGGGGGGACTACCATATAAAAAGGACGGGGGTGCTCATTGTACCTTTTAGAGGTTAAATAAAGTGGTTGTGGTACCTCTTCAGCCTCAAAAGGTCCACAGCAGGAGCTTTTGCAGCACTTTTTACAGTATTGAGTTGAAAAAATATGATGTCCAGGGGATAATGTGTTGTTTTAGAATTGGTACCTCTTAGGGGTGGAAAAAATTTCAAGCCACACTCACTTGGTACCTTTTAGGGGTTCTTTTCAAAATTTCCGACAAGCATCCCCGTCCTTTTTATATAGGAGTCTTCCCTGGGTGTACAGCTTGCCTCTAAAATCTGTACTAGTGTTCCAGACCTTGGCTTTTAAGGTATGCCCTTTACTTTGTGCATTTCATCAAATACAGTCACTTTAATTTGCTCCTTTTTTCTCACTTAGCCTTGCCCATTTTACAGCCTGCTTGACTCCAAATGTTAAAACATGTGTGAGTCAGATGTGCTATTAATGACTTTTCCATTAATTTTTGACTTTTTTCCCCTAGGCCTGGAGGTGAGGACTCAGCATTTTCAAACTCAAGTATTATTCTACAGCTTCGTGAGCAAGTTTCACAGTTACAAGGGATTCTACAAGAGAAGGAGGAAAGTGAAAAGACAGCAGCACAAAAGTTAGCCATGTATCAAAATCAACTTCATGCCAAGAACAATGAAGTGTCCACCCTGAAGGACCAGTTACAGGCTCAGGTTTGTTTAGCAGCAAAGAGCTTCTGGGTAGCTTATGTAGTGTGTGTACATCTACCATATTTCTCAGGGCCTCTATATTGTTCTGTGTTATCAGAATCAATAATATAAATTTTTCAAAAAATTATTTCAGCTATTACAACACAGGAAAAAAGTTACTTACAATTAATATCTTGTATCTCTAAGTAATCATGCAATGAACAAAGCAATGTTTTCGTTTTAGCCTAAAGCTACTACTTGGGTTAAAACAGACCCAAACGCCACCACAAACAAGATTGCTTCCTTACGCACTGAAATAGCTGAGAAAGAGCGAAGGATAGCTCAGTTAACCAATGACAATGAAAAACTCAACAAACAGAAGATGCAGTCCACGACTTTACTAAATGGATTACAGAGAGAAAATTCAGCCAAGGATGCACTGGTTCACCAGGCCAAGACTGAGATTGAAAAACTTAAAAAAGAGCTGCGTGAAAAAGATTCAACGATCTCTACAATGTCAACGAAGGTGAGAAGAAACTGAACAACGACTTTGTTGATGCTAATAGATACAAGGCTGCTGTATACTTACCGTCAACACAGTGACAGCATGGAAAGAGGGTATATTTTCTCAAAAGCGTTCCTGTCGTTTGTGGTAGCATTTACACCTCATTTACTCAACAAGTCGACCTTTCTAGGGGCGAGGCGTGCCTCCGGGGTTATATAACTCGCGTCCTATTTCAGTCTTTGATACCCTTTGCAACCCCTGTGTAGGATATTTTGAAAGTTTACAGTTATGAGTGTTGGGCATCAGTGCTGCACGCCAGCATTCTTCACACGTTTTAATTGTCAGACAGTCGTTTATTTAAATGAGTTGTTGTTATTCAGATGTTTTATATCTGTTGCGCTGAGTAATAAAAGTAATAAAAGTAATAAAAGTAATAAAAGTAATAAAAGTAATAAAAGTAATAAAAGTAATAAAAGTCAGTGACTGTTATAAGGTATTAAACTTTTGTTGCCCAAATTTTCTGCATATTTTCCCAGTGAAGATTTTCTTCTTTTAAATTTGTTTTCAGTTGGGACGGCAGAAAGCCGCTAAAGATGCAGAAAAAGAAGTACAAAAACTACAACAGGAGCTGTATGCAACAACAGGAGTAAGAATGTCACCCTTTTCTGAACGAAGTGCTGTTTTTGCCACTACAACCACATGTACGACCACATACTGCCCTAACTAACTAAGGAATTGCAATTAGCGTTATGTGATGAGATAGTCCTAGTGACTAGAGAGGGTCACCAGATCAATCTTTGCCTTCGTCCGAGTTGAACTGACGTACTTTTAATTAGTATTTAGCATTTGATGTCTAGAAATTTCTTCAAAATACCAAAGCATTAGTCTCTTAGTTGCCGCACATTGTCGGTTTCCTGCGTACAAGCGGAACATTTCTGTTGTACCATCTGATGTTTTCGGTAAACTTAAATGTGTCTGTATGTAGACACCACTTGATTGCGGTGATTTCGTTGCCACGATCGGAAAGTAAACTAAAGAGTAACTTCTGTTGAAATCTTGCTGCGGGTTAATATTTGTAATTAGAAGGCTTGTTAAGTTGTTGACTTACTGTAATGGATTCATCTTTGCTGCTTTTGTGTTGTTAATATGCTGATGTTTTGAAAACAGATTTTGACTAATGACCTTTTAGGAATGTCAACATAGTGAAATAGTTTTGTGTCCCTTAGTTTCCTAGTTTTTTTCTCAGTCATGGTTTACAGTTGGTGGAGTTAGTTTTAATCGATCGAAATGACGTCGAATATCGTTTATGATTTTTAATAAGCGATGACTCGATTTCTCTTCCGTGAGTGGTTTCTACCAGTTACGCTAGCCAGAATCTGGCGTTAGCTAAAATAAGATTTGACAAGTTTTCTTTCATGTCCATTAATGTCCAAGATTCCTGTCAAAATTGATTCGTATTCCACTTGAAAGCGTGTAAATTGTCTTGTAGTTACACGAAGTCAGTAGAAATATATCATGCCATGCAGTTCACGAAGTTTTTTGAAACTACTGATTGGAAGTTATAAGAACAGAAATATCAGTTTGAAGCGTGGCTTATGGACAGGAGCTAAAAAAAATAGAAGGTTAGAAGAAAAGGATGTATAAACGTCCTCGTAGTGAGTCAAATGTTCGCTTGTCATTTACGGTACTTATTCATTCATGGAGCTAAATACCTGTTAATAATGTTTTATGTTTTCGTGACAACAGTTTAACCTTACGTACGATTTCATCAGTAAATTCATAAAAGAAAAACTTTCAAGATTCGGTCTAGAACATGCGGCGTTAAATTCTGTTCAATGTTTATTGTGTACAGTCACCTGAGCAACAAGCCAAGCATGTTAATAGATAGTGCATGGAGAGCTTCAGAAATGTAGTGGAAATGTGGAGCTCTGTATATACGTTAGTTATGAAGCGATGAGGTCTTGTGTGATATTGGTCACCAGTGTTTTGGAGCACGTGCCTGTAATAGTCGTTCAGTGTGAAATAGCTATTTTGACATTCGAGGGTTTTCTTTGTTAGAAACTTCAGAGCACGGAGAAGCAGTTAAAGGAAAGAATTAAAACCATTGCTGACCTGGAGCATGAGTTAGAGAAAATGAGAGGTCATCTTAGTGAGGGACGGCAGGTTGGTGGCTATGGAAACTTAACACCCTTTTCCAATTTGTTGGTCAATTGACATGAAATTGAAGTCATACGAAATGCACCCAGCCAGACGTGATCATATTCATTGTAGTAGCATACGGCTTGTTTTATCCTTTGTGAGAAATGCTAGAAATGCTAGTATTGAGGTGTCTCTGATCTGCAACATTGAAAAAGACCAAGGGAAAAATTACCGCCGTGAACTCTTTCAACAAGCGAGTTTATTGTTGTCGTTATTTCATTACCTAGTATGTTCTACACCCTCGGCAGCTTGCCGAAAAATTGTCTTCTTGTTCTCTTCAGTATTCTATAACTCCTTAGAGGATAATAAAATAAAGTTCTCAAGTTCACAAACTGAAAAACCTGTTAAAATACTTACTTTTGCCTGGATATGGCGGATGGCAAACAAAGTGCGCGAGATTTTCGTCATTTCTTCCAGTCGTTTCTTACATTCAGCCAATAGTTTTTTCGGTCTGTAGCACTTACTGAACCGTCACTGCATTTTTCTTAAACTCGTTTCTTTTATTTCGCAGAGTGATAAAGCGACTCAACAAGAGTTAGACCACGCTAAAGCGCAGTGTCTTGACGCACAAAGAGCTGAGAAACTGCTGAAGGTTGACTTCCATCAGATGGAGAAAAGAGTAAGTTAAATACTCGGCGGCAATGATACTCGCTATCCGGGTGGAGAACCAAGTGAGCCAAGGAAAGAAACAACTGGCGCCTTGGTTTTCCTAACAATCACAGAACGTGTAGCTGGCTACTTGGCCAACAGCTAAGTTCTCCTCGATAATAAAGATCTACGTAGTTTTCTTTGTGTCAGTAAAAACTAATAATGAACATAGTAGCTGAAACTACAATCCCAGACGTATTAGACTGTTACCATCTAGACAGTTAAAATTACTTGTAGATGTTTATCGCCCCTCCCTCCCCCAGTTCAATGTTGCTCTTGTGTAAAGAAGGTAAACTGCAGGTTCCCTGAATTAACGGTGACTGATGGGGGTTACAAATGTTGCTGCCGTCTTGTTAGCTGAAAGTGCTGACTACTGGCGTGAGATATTCGCTTTTCTCAGCAAGGTCTGTCCAAGATTCTAGCATGATACAGGAAAAACTAAGTAAGGAAGACAGATTGGTCGTAAAGCGCGACCTCTCGGCTTAACAGATGTCGTACACTGTTTTCTAGTTTGATCGCTTCCGGCGGAAGTTAATAGAATACACGTTCAGTGGAGGTGTTCCAAGCACAGTGGATCATGAACTGGAGGATGATGAACTTCTTGATCATGTGAGACAGCTGGCTCATGACAAGCTGTCACTTGTGGAGGAAATCCAACAGTACGCCAGCTCAGAGAGCGAGGTCAGCACACACATCAGCCGATATAACGCCTGTTCTTGTTAGCGTCCGTAACAAATTTTTGAAATAATTAGCGCTACCTCAATCAGATTTCATCTTTAAAAAGATTATTATACGTTATTTCAGCTACAGTTATTTCCAAAAAAGGCCTCTAGTGTCAACTGATAGTTGCCTTGGCACAGTAGCTGGCTGCTTGGTTGAAGAGGGACACAAATAACAGCGAGTGACAAACTAGCAAACCCCTGCAGGCCTTCCTTTGTTATACTCGCCGCTATTCGCGCTGCTCCCTAACTAACCTAAGGCCTGAAACATATTATTTTATAAGTTTAAAATACACTGACGCTCAAATTAATTTTTATTGTTAAACTTGATCCTCATTTCGCACGAAACGGTTCGTGTACGGAAGGATTCTGCGCGCTAAAATATTCGAACCAAAACAACAACAACAACAAAAAAAACAGAAAGAAAAAGATTAGCGGATTTACTGGAAGGGACGTAGCGAGCCTATAGGCCTGTAGGCCCGGGTCTACAATTTTTCACCCTACCCGTCCTGAAATGGCTTTTAGAAGTTTCAGTAAAAAGCATTTCCCGGGGAGCATGCTCCCGGACCCCCCAAGAAGTTCGGACCTTCGGCGCTCGATATAAGCCTTCAGCGTGATAACGACTCATTTTAAAAACAGGCCTACAACTATTCAAAAACCTCGCTACGCCCCTTACACTACGAGTGTAATTAAAGATAAATTTGCCTGTTCTTTGACAATCACAGTGAAGTAATTTTCCTATTCATATGATAATAGTGTGTTTTATGATTGTGCAGTTTGATGTTTTCCAGAAAACAAATTTATTGGTTTTTCCAACTTATTGTTGCTTAGAAAGAAGCTAAGGATAAGGATTTGAGAGATTCAACTAGCGAGCTACGAAAACATCTGGACGGCATGGCGGTAAGTCTGGTGATAAGACCGTCCTTAGTATTTGATCCAAATCAGACTGGTTAGACGAAAACTTCGTTAAACCGCGGATTCTCGCGTAAAGGCAAAGTATCCCTTCCAATCCCCGCGCGATTATTTGACTAATAATATACATGAAAAAAATTGCTCGGTTCTGACTGGCTGAGAGCAGTGCAGTTCAAGTGTAACACCAGTGCAAAATGTGTAACAAGGTTCTCCCTTGTTTTCAGTACAACAGGTAAAAGAACATTTTAAACCGGTAAAGCAATCAGATGGCTTTAGATGTCAAATGAAATCAAACAGTTTTAAGTGTTTTATTCTTTGTCTTAATTCTCTTGCCCTAAAGTCACAGAAAAATAGGCAAAAGCCACTTCCGGGGTATCCTCGCTATGCTTACATGAATTGTCACTACAAAATCTGCGGTCGTCTCTCAAAACCAAACGAAATTGCTGCATATTCATTTTCATTCACGTTCTGGAAGGGTTTTATTGTCAAGGATTCTCTCAAAACGTCGTCTGAAAAATAGATTTTAAACACTTTTGATCTGAATGTGGAGCATTTCGTGACGAAGATGAAGTTTTCGATCACCACACTTGAATGTTGGTCAATTTAGCAACACCAGTTTTCTAAAGCCGATAGTTAGGTGGGAAGTTCATGGAACTGATTTCCCACATCTTTTAACTTCTAAAATTACTTTACCTGTAACTGTTTCCATTCGTGACTTCTTACCATTGCTGACGGAGAGATATGAGAAGGAATTGTGGCAGAAAGCCCGCCAAAAATTCGTGGATCTCGCCACGAAGTTCGAAAGCCACAGATAGAACTTACAAACCATAGCCTGTGCAGTTTATCTTTTAATCTGTTTATTTATTCTGTTACAAGGATAAAATACCAATTACGTCGGTGAAACAACTATATTTTTTTCTTTTACCTGTTGAATTTTTAAGAATTCCAAGGGATTTTAGGCGGTAATGAGTGGTGCTACAGGCGGTAAATTTTACCGGTTACCGCCTGAAAAGGAGAACACTGTGTAACACCAGTGCAATAAGTGTAACACAAGTGCAAATTACACATCGTAATTCTGGATTGTGATTGGCTGAAAGACCATAGGAAATTTTCTAAGCAAATGATATCACGTAAAATGATGACGAATATTTTTGTGCGGAAACTTTGAAAAACGTTTTCTCGAATGAGAGAAAAATGCCTTTAAGAAAGATCTTCCGTCACTTCCTCCACGCGAATTTTT